ATTCCCATTTCCGAGTGTATTAAAAATCATATCTGCGTGCGTGTTGAGCAAACAACTGTCGCCGAAATATATTATATTATGATACCTATCATATTATACATTTTCGTTGTAGTCTGACGGTATACAATAAAAGTATTTCCGATATGAATTTATAAATTATTTTTTTCATTCATATGTATGAACTCGGAATTGCAGAATGATGTAGGTAGTAGGTACACACCTACTGTCACGTTGTAGCTGATTCTAAACCGAGCGAGGGAGATACATTGATTTTAAAATTATATGTGGCGTGTGCTTTTACATATTATTTAAAAATAATTATTATTAATCAATGAAAATACTGTCTGGGATATAGAAAATATTTTTTATTTAGCCTCGATTACAGTTTTGAAGTCAAACACAAATGGCTAGTATATTATAGTGTAAGAAATTAATATTTTGGAAAAATTATAAATCTGTATAGTGTACCTTATAGCTGCAAACTGTATAAATGTCTTATTTATTGATTTGTGTTTTGTCCGTTTTTACATACATATCTATCATTTACAATTTTTGAATTTATTGCAATTTCTTTTTTTCGTAGGTACTTTGTTCCTAAATTTACTACTAGGTATATTTATTAGTCAATACTTACGTCATAATTCATTGATAACGAGCATCACGAGTTAAAAAACGATTTAAATTGGTGCTCGATCGCCGGAAACATATATATAGGTAACTGATATTTTAATAGAATATTATTATTTCGACCTTTCGTTATATTTTGAGTTATAATATAATGACATTTAATACCTAGTTCTAATTTGTATAACTACTCTTATAATAAAATTCATGTCTAAAGTAGGAAACGCTCCAAACGTTATTGGTCATAAACATAACATATTATTATTTTAAATTATTTTCATTGTTATTCAAAAACTGTGTCTGAGTGAAAAATAAATGTACTTCAGATTTACACTTGACCGTGAAAACTTGTAACCTATAGTTTAGTTATTTGGCTAACACTTTTTGTCCATCTATTATTAGCATTTCAATAAGCGTATTTGTTTTTAATTAAGTTCCAAGTACTTGCACTAAATTACAATAATATGTAGAATTTTAAATAATATATACTTTTATGTGTATAGCTTAAGGTCAAGGTATAAACTATAACTGTTAAGTTATTTGAATTGCGATAAACAAAAATTAAATTAGTTTACATTGAAAATGTAAAATTTGGTTTTTTTTTAAAATAACAACCTAAAAGTTATATTTAACCAAAGCCAAGAGAAAAAAAAATTAATATTTATTAAATTTGGCAAAAATATTAATTATTATTTATTATAATAGTTTATCCGATTAACAGAAAATTATGAGTACTGCAATAGCCACTATAGCTAGTACGACAATACAATGCACATTACACATAGGTAAAAATGTAAATACATAATATTTTATATTCTAATATTGAGGGTAAAAAATTTGTATTTAATATATACCTGCAGGGTTTCCTGTATAAAATGTTTTCTTTCTATTTTTATCTTCGATTGTCTCAAATTCGTCACGCGTATATACAAATTTTATATTACTAAAATATTACGTATCTATAATACAATATTGAATTACAAACTTGAGATTGCATCGTAAGTAAAATGATCCATGAAGATAATGGGACATGGGAAACAAGACTACGATGTTAATTTATTATATTTAATAAGATCGTATGCCCACTCGAATGCGATTTTTAAAATGGTCACGACAATAATATTATTACGACAATCATCAATATATATATATATATAGGTATATATATTATGAATACCTACCTACTGTTTACGATTATTCTGTGTAGGACATATTATATACTTTGATAGTTGATACAATGAAGAATCATCAGGTGGCGTTCGTAATATAATGCAATGTAATTTTTTTAAGTGGTGTGTCTCCTACTGTATTTGTTACAATTTACCTAACTCAAAATATCGATATTCGATGTTGAGTGCTAACAATAATTATTTAAGTACAAATGTCACGAAAACATGATTTTTTTTATTCCGTAAATTTAATAAAATAGGCACATAGGTATAAAGTATAAACGATAAATTACCTTATGGCTTATGTATATTCTAATATACAACATTATTAATTATTATAGACGCGTATTGTTGAATTATGCGGATAATAATTATATTTTATTATTGACACGTTATTTAAAGTTTAAACTTTGTGCGTTTAATTCTCAATAAAATTTCAATTTTTCGGAGGCATTATGCCGATATTATTATATTATAATAATTCGTGCTACAAAGATCAATAATAGGTAGGTATTGATGATTTCTCTTAGTTGTTGATTTAAAATATTGCTCTGACATTAGGCAATATTGCATTATTATAAAATCAATTTTGTCGAGGGCGTGTTTTTGGCAATATTTCCCAATATCTTTAATATATCTTGGTATATTAAAAACATAAAGGACTGTAGGACTGGGGTATGATGACCGCCGCGGCACCGCCCCCCCCCCTAATAATTAATAGGTATTGATGAATGGTGTTTAAACATTTTGGCCTACTTAAGCGCCATTACTGGAAACAGTGATAAGTTTTCGACTCAGCACCGGGAAGCTCACAGAAAATAGAAATGAATAAATAATTTTATTACATAATATTACACAATAATACGAATTACAATTTTTTAAACATTTTATTTTGTTAGAAACGAAGGTTGTAGGATGAAGGTGTTTATAAGTACTTACAGTTTTAATATTTTTCAATTGATGGAGGAAAAATTAAATTTCAACTTTTTCACAAATTAATCGAGTTTGATAAGTCGCCATTTATTATACAAGTGGTAATTTATAGCCATCGCATAAATATATATCCACTATATTAGTATATATAGTGTACATATTATAGGCCATGCAGGCGGGGTGTGCAATATTATAATATATTATACATATACATGTATGCTATGAATACGTCAGAAAATTCGCACTCCGACGTTGCCAGATTTGTGCTAATAAAGAGAGTAGGGTAAGTTTTCGTTCGTTCCCCCGGCCTGGAGTCCCGCTGCCGCCGCCGCCGCCGCACCGGATCTAATCTGCACACCCCTCGCTCTCGGCTGCAGTGACGGCGGCGGCGGCTCGTATTGATTTTGCACAGACCGCCGCGGCTGGCGGCGACGCCGTTCGATATAAAACGCCTCGCTACACCTACACCCCGACCGACGGCCGTCGCTGGATTGGTGTTTTTATTGTGCTCTTGCACGCAATACCAACCTAAAAGCACGCGACCTCCGCACCCCATCACCGGTATACGGTATATGCGCACGGGTATGATATATAGTGCGGCGGCAACCGTTTGTCGAACTATTGCACAATTTTCCCGACATTGGGATACCCACGGTATCTATATAGGACATGCAAAGGAGGACTTAATCGAACTCGAGTGGTGTGTGAAGCAAGCATCAATCCGATTGCGCATCATCGAGATTACCTATACTACCCATCTATATGATATTAAATATAAATAAATATCATATTATCAATATTTAATATTGCCTTATTGACGTCGTCGTCGTCGTCGTTGTCGTGTCGTAATATGATATTTCCATGTAAGGTGTTATTCAGTGGCGAACCTAAAATAACCCATAAGCAACCTAAAATTGGCCCACCACCCATCCGCCCACCAACAGTTTGTAATAAACACAATTACTATTATTATTTAGTAATCGTTTTTCACTTTCATAGCCACCCAACCACTGCTAAATATTAAAAAAAAAATCGAGAAGCAAATGCTTCTCAAAGACCACATTCGTTTGGCCACTGGTTGTACAAGTGAAATATATAATTTAAAATTCGTACAAGATCGTGAAAGTACATTCCTGTACCTATACAAATATTAAAAGCTCAAGTTCGTATTAACTGTTTGTCAAGTTCAAAAATGACAAGTTTGTTTTTGAAATCTCAACATTCTTATCGGACATCTTAGACCTGTTTAAAAAAACCACCCTTACATATTATAATTTACAATATCAAACCAATTTTCAAGTATAAAGCAATTTAACTATAAGGTACCTATTTCAAAGACATAATGAAAATTAACAGTAATTGTTTGCGATTGAAATCATTAATGGTTCATTAGGAGGAAATTATTATTTATTTCAGTAAAGTAGACATAATAAATTAAAGTGTGTCAACGTGTCGTGTTCATATCATAATTTAATGTTTTAATTATTTTAGTTTAATTTTGTACTGTTAAATATAATTCATGAAAAATGAAGATATTTTTGAACAGATATCAAACATTTTTTATTTTAAGTTTCTTCAAAGAATATAAAATATCTAATTGCTACACAATTATTTTTATCCATAAATTACGAAAACAAGAAATATTATGTTGGTGTGTTGAATAATTTAAAAAATAATGATCTTAAAATGTAGTCAGGTTGTTTTTATGAAAATAAATAAAAGTTTTCGTGTAGCTTCATTGTGTTCACATTTTAATCGATAAGTCAAGCGTTTCAAAAGGTTAGAGTTTAAAATAAAAAAATATAACATTTATTTTTTTCAATTTCTTACAAATTATTTCGTATTGTTCTTTAGCACTTTTTCTTATAATTCTTCTTTTTTTTTAAATACATGTACAATAAGCTAAACCCGCATATAGGTATATCCATCCCTTATGGAGGTCACACACACACACACACAGGTGTACGTGGCATTTGCAGCAAGTGCGCGCACCATTTACGCCCGTGGGGGTTGGCAGCATTGACCAGTTGGGGGCTTTTTCAGTAATGACATTTGGGTGAGGGCGTCGCACAGGGGAGGTGTTGGCCGTCTCGTCGCCGGCGATAAGCTCGAAGGGGCCAGTTTAGTATCGGTGCCGTACGCGGCAACACCGGCACACAAATGGCGTAATTCAGACAGAACTTACTTGTTGTTATATTATTAATAATATTATATAGTTTCACTAAGACAATTCGTTGAGTAGTATACGGACCGCGGTCCGCGGCGTGGGTGGACATGGTCACCGAAACCGGACAAGTAAGAGTTTTGATTGTGTATCGTTGTGTAAAAAAAAATTTTGGCGAAACATTATTATTATTTTTCCTTATTTATTCGCACAATAATATACGAAACAGCGCTTCGGCTTTCTAGTTCTGTAGCCAAACCATTAAAATTCGGTAAACGATAGGAGGTACCGATTGCAAAAAATAGTATTAATCTGTGATGGTGCCGTAGAGCTAATAGGATTTTTAAGATATTTAAATTTCTTAAATCGTTATGAATCGATAAACTATGATTATACCTAATAGTTTCTTTAATAATTTTGATATTGAAGTCTGTGTAGGATAACAATTTACATACAACAAGTGTTACACTGACATCCATTTAAAAAATTTCATTTTTTATTTCATCATCTGATCGTGCTATACCTATGTATAATATGACGTCTCGTAATGAAGTCTTCATGATTTCGACATGAAATCAATACTCATTACTCACTGATGTCTGATGATGGCCATCAGTCATCACACCCTCTATACGAAGCTTAACATTAAATCTGAACTACGTGCATTTGACGACTGTCTTCAATAGTTTGGTATTTTATCTCGTGTAAATAAACCGTACATAATAATATTGTCATTATAATATAATATTGTTGTTAAGTAAAATAATAATAATGCTATTTTGGTTAATAGTGCTTACCTACCACTTATAAATTATAATTTATTATACTGTTGATAAACTTCGTTTTTCTTTTGTTCATTCATTGTACGATGGATATAAAATATTGATAAAAAATATTGAATACATACAATTTCCTCTCTGTTGTATACGAATATATTACCACTAAAATAAATAAATGATGGACTCGTATGAGAAAACTTTGTTCCATTATTATATAATTGTTCGATAAGGAAACGTAGAAAATGGACAAATGTAACGGACCCGAAAAACGTAACCTTCAGAAAAAAAATTATATTATTATAACGGTGACATTCTATTAAACCCAATCAATTTGGATGCTCATTTGTTTTTATAATAATTCTATAAAAGGGCTATGTATAATTTAGTATTTTAGTAGGGCGTAATCCGAGTCTCCTCACTTGATTGGGTACACGAAAAAAAGTTCTAAAGTTATTGACTGTTCTATATACATAAAAATTGTATACATTATTTAATTATTATACTGTATAGTACCTCATTACTAATTAGTTATACAGTATAGTATACATAAATATTAATCACAATTGTATAGTATTTATTTAGCAATACGTCTAAATGTCTTAGTAACAAAAGTCATATTAATATATTTATTTAATTAATAAAATATTTTTGGAATCAACTATAACTTATTTTAATATACGGAAGTAAATTATTTAGTAGTTTTTTTTATCTTTTTTCCTCAGCTATTTTTTATCTATTTAATTAATGTAAAATGTATAATATCTAATTTTTCAATCCGTAGATTGGTTATAATGACCCATATTTAATTTACTATAAATGTAAATATTATGCATTGTCCACTAATATGTTATTATTTATAATTACAATACTAATATAATATGAGCTATATGATTATTTAATTTCTTTGTATTGCTTATATTAGTAGTTACATTACATTATATCATTTGTATAATAGTATGTATGTATCATTTTTACAGGCGGAGGGGAATACCTCTTCATTTTTAAGAGCGGCACGATCCGGGAACCTTGATAAAGTCATTGAACACTTGAAAAACAAAATAGATATAAATACATCTAACTCTGTAAGTATTTAGAACGATTTGTACCTCTTGTAAAAATATATTCAACTTATTGTTTATTTTCAGAACGGTTTGAATGCTTTGCATTTGGCTTCAAAAGACGGGCATTTGGAAATCGTAAAAGAGTTATTGAAAAGGGGCGCTAACGTAAACTCGGCAACAAAAAAAGGAAATACTGCACTTCATATTGCTTCTCTTGGTATACAATAAATATTCAACGTTTTTTTCAACGATTAACATAAATTATGTGTTTTTAGCGGGGCAATATGATGTGGTGGTCACCCTTGTGGAACATGGCGCATTGGTGAATGTGCAAAGTCAAAATGGTTTCACCCCTTTGTATATGGCTGCGCAAGAAAATCACGACAGAGTTGTTAAGTATTTGTTAGCAAATGGGGCCAATCAAAATCTGGCAACTGAGGTATGACGTGTGAAATAAATGTTAAGTACGAATACTCTATTTAATAACTGAAAATGGTTTTTTTTAGGATGGATTTACACCATGCGCTGTTGCAATGCAACAAGGCCATGAAAAGGTAGTAACTGTGTTATTAGAAAATGATACCAAAGGTAAAGTTCGTCTCCCTGCATTGCATATTGCAGCAAAAAAAGACGATTGCAAGGCCGCAGATTTACTCCTTCAAGTAAATAATAAATATTGATTTAAATTATGAAATTATTACATACAAACGAATTGTTATAATAATAATATAATTTTTGACGTATAGAATGATCATAATCCAGACGTAACATCTAAGAGTGGATTTACTCCATTACATATTGCTTCACATTATGGAAACGACGGTATTGCTAAACTTCTCCTTGCTAAAGGCGCTGACGTCAACTACTCTGCTAAAGTACGAAACTTACCTTATTATTTAGGTTACAATGACTATAAAAATTAATCTCAATTTTTTCGCAATAGCATAACATAACTCCATTGCACGTAGCAGCAAAATGGGGTAAAAGCAACATGGTATCTTTGTTGCTCGAAAGCGGTGCGAATATTGAAGCTAAAACTAGAGATGGTTTAACGGCTTTACATTGCGCTGCTAGATCCGGACACGACCAAGTTATTGACATGCTTTTACAAAGAAATGCTCCAATCAGTTCAAAGACCAAGGTTGGTGTGATCATACGCTTATTAGTTATTTTGAATTTATTATAAAAATTAAGCTTTCAATAATATTATTATGATACATATAATAATAATTATCAGGGTTGGTAAGTTCATGTATTTGAATATCAATCCTGCTAAGTTGTATTTAACATAGACATTTTATTGAATATGACATAGAAATTCATTTCAAGGTACCATGGTTATTTTGTTGGGCTTTTTAAAAAAAAAAATTGTTATTCCTATTGACAATTATATAATAACGTAAATTTTTAATTGAAATACTATGAAATGACCAAAATCTTATTAAAAATGCAATAATTTATATTATTTTTCACTGTATAAAATCTATGGGAAATGTAACAACCTAAAATAATTCAAAATAAAACTTTTAAAAATATGAATTGATATTTCTTGTTATTTCAAAAATTGCTTATGATTTCTCCTTTTATTAATACTCATATTTTTAGAGCACAATTTTAGATTCTTAGTGGATATAAATACATATTTCTGAACTTATTAAGGCAATAAGGTATATTTCAATTCATATTTTGCCAGTTCTAATGCATAAGTGCCTGATTATTTAGGCATTTTTTAGGGCATGAACTTATGAGCCCTGATAATAATAATACAAATGTTTTGAAATGGTTTTCATTCGTTTTTGAAAAGGAAAGAAAAATCAAAATTGTAAAATACTTTTTTTTTTACAATTTGCAGAACGGTTTGGCGGCATTGCACATGGCGGCCCAAGGAGATCACGTCGAAGCCGCTAAAGTGTTATTGTCCAACAACGCTCCGGTTGACGACGTGACCGTAGATTATTTGACCGGTCTTCACGTGGCCGCCCACTGCGGACACATCCGGGTGGCCAAACTCTTGTTGGAGAAACACGCGGATCCTGATGCCAGGGCGTTGAACGGTTTTACGCCATTGCACATTGCGTGCAAGAAGAACCGCATCAAAGTTGTGGAGCTGCTACTCAAGTACAACGCGAGCTTGGAGGCGACTACGGAAGTGAGCATACTTACCTGAGTCTATACCCAAAAATATTCAATATATAAACGGCTCGGTCTGTTGTGGTCGATTCGACAGGCCGAAAATACGAGCTTATGATATATCGATCGATGTTTATAACGATTATTATTGTTTTTTCGTATAGTCCGGTCTCACTCCGTTACACGTCGCCAGTTTCATGGGCTGCATGAACATCGTGATATTCCTGTTGCAACACGAGGCCAACCCGGACCTGCCGACGGTGAGAGGAGAGACGCCATTGCATCTGGCTGCCAGGGCCAATCAGACAGACATCATACGGATATTGCTCCGCAACGGAGCTCAAGTGGACGCCAGGGCTAGAGTACGTGTGAATCGTGTGCCGGTTCCTACACTATATGGTCGGACTATTGAGTGATATTTGATATTTTTCGTTTGTTGTGCAGGAGAAACAAACTCCGCTTCACATAGCTTCCAGGTTGGGTAACGTGGACATCGTAATGTTGCTGTTAGCTCACGGCGCGGCAGTCGATTCGACCACGAAAGATCTATACACCGCTCTACATATTGCCTCTAAAGAGGGCCAGGAGGAGGTAAGAGCACTGATTATGAAACGCATTATGGATCACGTGGACACAACATATTTGCTTGATAAGTTTTGGTCTGTTAGAAGAGAATATTTTATTTAAAACGATTAAATTATTGTGAGTCTTTCCTTATAATTATCTTTATATCATAATATTTGGTACTAGAGTTCAGCGTACGTCCTTATTGGATCGAGAAAACTGGTGATATTTAATCGGTAAAATATTTTATCACCATCAGAAATACCCAATGTCTTTGTTTTAATTAAATTTCGACCAATCAGTTATTTATAGACCATAATAATTGTATCAATATAATAATTATACGTATGAAAAAATTCTTAAATTATTACTCAAGTGATTTTAATATTCGAGTTGAAAATATGCTACAAATATTATTATTCTAAAATAAATTAAATTTGTACATTAAAGGTAATTACGTATTCAAATTCAAATTTCGGTGCCAATAACAATTTGAGTAAACTTTAAGTAGGTACGTTTTTTTAAAAAAAAATTGTCGGTTATAAGAATATGAATTAATTGTCCTTCTAAAATGTCGTCGATTAAGTACTTCGAGTATGACGTAATTTAATTCTGAACAAAGGATTCACTGCCATATTATTTTCATCGAAATGTGTTCGTATTCTTCGTAAATAAAAATAAATAATCTAATTTAATATTGAATACATATAAATTAAAAAGCAATAAGAGATGAGGAAAATATACGTACTGTGCCAAATTAGACATTTGTTTTTTAATTTATAACATTTATAAATCAGTATTACTTTCGTATTAATCGTCAAGCCTAACCTATTATAACCTTCCTTTATGTAATAAATAGGTTTGCGATTCAATACGTTAATCATCAAGTCTATAATTTGATGTATAATTTAATATTTAAATTTTACTAAAATTTTTTTATTTTGATCAAATTGTGCATAAGAATTTAATAAATTATTCATATTTTTATTTTTATTTCCGAATTCACAACTAAATGAAACTACTTAATTGTATATGGTTCAGTGATTTACTATATTATACGTAGACCCAATATTAAATTGAAAATCAATTTTTTTTTTCATTTAGTTAATAATTAAGTAAATAATTAAACTATATAATATGATTATATTATATTATTATTTAGCAAATTTGCACTTATAAATATTATTGTTATACGGTTTAATTATTATTACTGTGAATGTTAGAAATTAGAAAATATAATAGATTTATATTTATAACCTTAAAAAGTTGTCATACTAGATGATGATGATTTATTATAATATATTTAATATAGTGCTGTTAGTTTTTTTTTTTTAAGTTTCATAAAAGTTTACATGACATAAATGTTATATTATAGCATTATTTTGATCTCTTAATCGTTGTTAAAATTCAAAAGACATCTTTTTATAATAGTTTAATCACCGTTAAAAACAAAACTAGTATATGAATGTGAATATTTTATGCTTAATCATTGTCATTGTTGTTTTCTTAAATTAAAAAAAAAAAATATTAAATATTTATAAACACGTTTTTGTTCGCTTTGCCTATTTTTTTTTGTCAAGCCACCGCAATTAAAATGTCATTTTTCCAATCTAAATTTCTTTTATCTTCAAAAATCAAGCAAGTCTCTTGGTACTTGGTAAAATCGATATTCATTGATTAGGTAAGTCCTAAAATTTTGTTATTCTTATAAATATTTTCCATTTTTCCTACCATATCTAAATGTGGCTATATATTATTAGCCTAACTATCCTAACGCAATAATATATTATTTATTATTACTTTATATTGACTTATTGGCTGTAAACTATTTATCATGGGCACAGGCTTTAGCTTCACAACACTGATGCAATGTATAAAAATATTTTAAAAGCTTGAATTTATATATAGAAAAAATATCTAACAGCATTAACTACTTTTAACAAGCTTAAGCTTTGTAAAATATTGTACACAAATTAATAAGTTGACAATGACTGATAATGAATGAGAAACACTGGACTTTTTTTGTTGGCAGGTTGCATCAGTGTTGTTGGAGAATGAAGCCTCAGTGACAGCAACCACTAAAAAAGGGTTTACCCCACTACATTTGGCATCAAAGTACGGCAACATTAAAGTCACCAAGTTGCTGTTACAAAAACAAGCTCCAGTTGATGCGCAAGGAAAGGTTAGTAATGATTTTATAATTTTATAACTAAAATGTTTGTATAGAATATTAACTTTTGAATAAGTTTCGGAAAATACATTTCAACGTATATTATAATAAATTCGAACCTCTAGAACAAGACTGTCGCCACTCACATAAATTTTAAGTTAGGTATGACTACTTTCAAACAGTGAAAAAAGCTCTATAAAATGCAATAACTCTACATTCAATATCATTTTTTATTTAGCTACTTAAAATATGTGTCAGTATTAAATTGTTTAATGTTTAGATAAATTCGAAGCAAGAGAGCCATATTTGCTTATTACTTATTTTAATTATCCAATCAAAATTCAAGACTGCCTTATTTCGATTTGTAGCGTTCTTGCACTAAATAAAAACTAATTAATGTGGATATGCATAATATGTTGATTGCAAAACAGAAATATTTAGAGTTTAGCGGTATTGCATTTTATAATTTGTCATATTGCAGCCACAATATTAAATTGAATACTGCTGCCATATTTTAGTATATTATGTCTATCTCAAAATACAGCCACATTTCAAAATATGGCAGTTCTGCAGTTTTGCAGTTTTGCATTTACTTAAAAAATTTTAACTTTTATAATATTATATAACTTTTTAGGTCTAGGAAAATTTTCATGAGATTTGAAATAGTCATATTGTAAAGTATTTAAGCGTTTAGTTTCAAAGGCATAAGTAAAGAAGTCTTTAAAATATTTTAGATTCAAACTTCAAATCGCTTTTTTTCACAACTATACATTTTGAGTTGTGGCAATGTTGTTTTAGAAGTGCGAGTAATGAGTATATCAAACATTCAAACGTTGCAATATAAATTATAAATAAACCCATATTTAATAGAACGTAATTAGGAAGTTAAATATATTATCTATCCTTTTACGCATATATGACATCCCTCCATTAGGGTAGTTCGATCTCGATTTATTACTCTACTTAAAAATTTGAAGATGCTTTACAACATTTAGTATCACTTTCTAGTTTCTATATAGTTTTATGATGTCTAATAATTGATAAGAACTAATACCTAAGATATGTGTTGATTGACTTTATAATATAAATACCATATATTATAATACCTTTATAATATTTTTTTTATAGCAAGAATTTTAAGTTAGTTTTTGATTAGAATATTTAGAATCATATATGAGTTATATAATAACATGGTTAGGTGCTTTAATAAAATATTTTCAGGTCTTCTATTTGAAAATGGTAATTAATTCATTTATAATTATTATATTAATTATCCCAAAAATAATATATATACCTAAATATGTGGTGCTAAAATAACACCGGTCAGGTTACAAATAGCAGCTTCAAGGTGTTGAACACTTATTGTGCCTGTTACATCTAGACAAAAGCTGGTGACATATTATTATTCATTGAATAAGACAGTACAAAGTCGTTGAATCTGAAAAATTGATGAATGAACTTTTTGTAAATTAAGATTAAAACAAACGTAATTTTAATTCTTCTGACTAGAAGATGCTTTACGATAGAGATTCCCAGACTTTTCATGGTATGAACAAATTTTATCGACTCAAAAATCACAATATAACAACGATTGGACGATATTTTGTTTCGCCACATTAATTTGTTTCAACATTTATCAATTTAATAAATTAATTTAATCAATAATCGCTATCGTTGCGATAGCTTTTAGTCTAACAGAATTGTGATGACACTTCACTCTGTAATATAAGTATTTCGTGATCGTCACGAATATAGATCAAAAATAAAACTAAATTCGGACATCAAAGAAAAGTAATAAATAATAATTGTATGAAATAGTAAATACATAGTTACACGGTTACACTGTATAATAGTATAGGTACTCTTATTTTTTTTACATTTATATAATAAATTATGTAGGTATATTTTGTATGATAGGTATAAAAAATATAAATACCTAAATATTTTGAAATATTACGAGACCTGCCAAAAATATATATAAACGCGACCCACAGTTTGGTTACATTTGCTTTATAAATGTATTCGTATTTTTTGTAGTTTGATAACAGATATTTCGGTGAAGATAATTAATATTATATAACATCCATTTTACTAATAAGTAATTTCACGAAATGGAAGTCTAGTTTGAATTTTTAAATTTCTGTTGAAGTAACGACATACATACTGTGAATATTTTATTTAAAGGTTATTTCTTTTGTTCAATTTATTAAATCGACAAACTTTGTGCAATTATAAATAGTTTTACTATAAATATTATAATTAAAATAAAATTAGATTTATTATTATTAGATAACTAGTAAAATAGTAGAATGAGTGTTTTGCGTACCCGCTACTCGAAAAATAACCCATCAATTATACTTATCGTTGATTTTGAAAAAAAAAACATGATGAGTAGATTGGTGTGCCAACAATTGTTTCAAGGACAAGGTCAAGCACTTCTATAAAACACCAAATATTTTATTTTTTTATTCTTAAAAGAGATTTTTTAAATGAAACAATAAATTATTTCCACTACAAACCAAGCAAAAGTACAAGGAGCTTAAAAAAAAAAAATTGAGGGAGAAAGTGAAGTTGAATTATGAATACATAACTAACTATTCATGTGAAAATTTTTTTCTTGTAAGTGTAAATCCAAAACTCTAATGAAGACTTCAAAATACCTATATTTAATAATATATTATACCAACTACTACAGTTGAAATGTTGGGAGTATTTTGAAATAAACCACGAAGATGATTGTAATAATTGTATTTATTTATACTCAAATTTAATAAGTATGTAAAAATATTCTAAGTCCAAATAATTAATTTAATTTAATCCGTTGTAAGCGAGTTGTGACTATGTATTTAGCTTAAGTGACTGTTCGATTTGAGGTTGGTTGTTCGTCTGATGGACGCTTGTCCATCAGCGTATTTCGTCGGGTAGTCCTATCAGAATTCAGACCCCTACTATGGCTTTTAGTATAAAAATGGTACATGCCCTGCATACTCTTGTGGTCACTTTTGGACGTCATTCGTATATTCATGTTATTTCCGGGATAATATTTTCTACTTACTATGTTATTAATTTAACCTAGAATTTGGTTTATTAAAATGCAATGCATGTATCACATGTTCTACAACGCGTCGTGCTGTACCATTGTTATTATTACTATTACTTCTATTGATGCGTGTCGTCCGGGGTTACGCGCTCACTGGGGTATTTAGATATATTATTACTATTACTTCTATTGACGCACGCCGCCCTGCAGCATTTAGATGTATTATTTGCAAAAACTAATCCTAATATTGTCACAAAGTCACAGTTCGCTACAATTATAAAATAAATAAATAAATAATAATGATTAATGATAAATATTAAATTATTATAAAACAATTTTTTTTAATATCATAATGTTTATTCGTTATTCATGAACAGTTCAATACATTTGTCAGAATGTATACAATATACCTACGTAATTTTACGTTGAAGGTGTATTTCATAAACGTAGTGATTTTACAAACTAGGTATATTTAGTTATAAACAGTTTTATTTTAACAATATTAACATTTATAATCTCAATAAACTGTTGTAAGTTGTAACCTAACCCAGGCAGCAAATGTTTGACTAAAAATATTATTATAACATTATAAGAATATTATTCGTGATTATAATGTTATTATAATGTTATCATTTCAAAATGCTATTAGGGAACCTAACCTATAAATTCGTATTTAAATAATTTTAAATACTTAGAATACTATAATACTAATTTTAAATGTTTTGCCAATTTGTACGTTTTCAATAATTGTTACACTAGGTATAAATTAAAAATCTAATAATTTAAAAAATAGAAATAATGTTTCAACTTTTTATTTTCAATCCATACAAAATGGTTAATAATGAATAGTTAGTAAATATATTATTATATAATAAATAATTTGAAACAAAAAATGATTTGTCAAGATCCAATGCACCAGCTATATAAATATACCTAGTCCTTTACCCGAGCAACAATTATTTTGATTATTAAAGAAAAAGAAAAATATAATATTGAGTTAGTCTGTTATCTTGTATTATTATAGTTTAATTGTCTCCATCATTTTACCTTTAGAACGGCGTAACACCATTACACGTAGCAAGTCATTATGACAATCAAGCAGTTGCATTAATGTTACTTGACAAACAAGCATCTCCTCATGCCACAGCCAAAAATGGCCACACGCCTCTTCATATAGCGGCAAAAAAGAATCAGGTAATTTATTACGTCTTATGGTCAAAAAGTATTATAATGTTTGTATTTATGACTAAATTATGATTTATATTTATCACTGTTGAAATAATATTCTAGTTTTAATATTGAGTGAGTATAAGTATTATAAAACTGAAAAATATGATTCATACTACTATTAAAAATATGTACCTACTGTGACCTGATTAATTTGATGTAATTTCAAACGTAACGGTACCTACGTTGTAAATTATATGCAAACAAATAATTCTTAGTTATTTATTACTGTCTTACGCAATATGCGAAGTAGGTAAAGTAAAAAGTAAAAACCACTGTCCTTACTTAAAATATTTTAATTAAAGGAATACAAATTTAAAAATTATTTGGTAAATTGTAAATATTACACTATATCAATCTTTTCACAAAAATATGGTTATCGTTTTAATTTTTTGTTCACTAAAACTATAACACGCGTTCCATATAAGTTTCTATTGAAAAATGATTATGAATTAAAAAATGCAAAAGTATAAGTTGGTAGTATATACACGTACTGTATACAATTGTATGTTCACAGCACCTTTTTAACAGGGAGATCTCATCAGGTTAAGCTTACATATCCCAATCCTATACCGTATTTTTTTATCCGTGTAACAGACAAATAATTATGTGTGACGATAAATACACAGTTTCGTGATGATGTGGTGTGCATGGTAGTTTCCCGTGGTCACAGAAACTGTTGAAATGATAATTTAAAAAAAAAAAATAAAAGATTTAATAAATTTTTATTAGAGAAATGTCACTACTATGTGTTATACGGTAGTACATGTGGAAATGTCCTCTTTAACTGATGAAATCTCCCTGTAAAAAAGGGTGATGTGAACATACAAATGTATATAGCTATGTACTAGTCACAAGTGTACTCCAAATTTACATTTTTAATTGTCTTGATAATACTTAATTTTTATGATTACACAAATTAGTAGAGTTAGCCTTACGCTAAAACAATGTTTTGAAATAGAAGTTTACTCTGTCCCGCATCGAGCCCCCTCCAAAGTGAACTATCAGCTATCATATCATTTAAATAATTCTAAAATATTTAATGTAGTTTAATATTCGTTTAGTATATTATTAGGTTGATCGTTTGTAAAATATTTTTTATGAAAATAATTTAATTCAAAATGTATATTATAATATAAAGGATATGTGTTTTAGATGGATATTGCAGTTACTTTATTAGACTACGGAGCAAAAGCAAACGCCGAGTCAAAAGCAGGATTTACTCCTCTTCATCTGAGTTCTCAGGAAGGTAATGTTGAGATGACTACTTTACTTTTGAACCACAACGCAGATCCTAATTATAAATCAAAGGTAATTAATACAGTGCTTGTGAAATCATGATTACCTTTTAAACGTAAAATGTATTTTACAGAACGGTTTAACACCAATGCATCTTACCGCACAAGAAGATAAACATAAAGTAGCTGTTGTGTTGGATAATTACCATGCAGATATTAACCCGGAAACTAAAGTAATAATAAATTAAATTACCATATACCTACAGATATTGATTAGTTAGTGATCAGCATGCACTAACCTAAAGAATGAAATACAGTTTTTAATATTTTAAGCAAACCAATAAATAAACAGTTTTTTTTTGTTGATATTTAAAGAACTGACATTGTTTTCACTTGTTTTTATAAGTTTATTAAGCTTATTATTTTGTTAAATCATTCAGTTTTTATTTTAATAGTTATATTATACTCATATTATAAGTATAACGTTTTACTAAAGGTATTTACATTTGAAATATTAATATACCTATTTATATAATATTAGGCTGGATTTACTCCTTTGCACGTTGCTTGTCATTTCGGCCAATTAAACATGGTTCGATTCATAACCGCTCGTCAAGGAGTTAATATTAACGCGACTACAGCTTCTGGATATACACCACTTCACCAAGCAGCTCAGCAAGGACATTCTACCATTGTAAGCCACTTATTGGATAAGGGAGCTGACCCAGATTTATTGACAAGTGTAAGTAAAAAAATTATTTTTAATGTTTTAATAAACATGTTGGCAATTTAATTGGTTATAAATCATCAAAGAGTCAATTGGTATAATTAAAAATGCATCTGTCTAACGAGAGAAAAATTCTTAATTTTTGAAAAAGCTAAATTAAAAACTACAATATTATTCCAGATTTTCTTAGAAAATTATTATTAATAACCGAGTAAAAATATTTGGAAAATGTGTACATTTAATAATGGCTTCATTTGATTAAAAAATGGTTTCCTTAAATATGTTACATCATAAATGTCATAAACCGACTTAACAATGTAATGCTAGCTTAAGCAAAAGGTCCAAGTATGTCAAATATTTAGTTATAATATAATTAAATTCTTGTACATAACAATTTCATTTCATAAAATATATATTATAACTATGTAATTTACATAAATACATATTGAAATCAATAAAATATACTTGTTATATCGTTGTGGGATTAATGAGTTATTATTATAGTTATGGCACTATAATATACACTCTTATGCCATTAAAACACAAGTAAATATTTTAGTGAGTTCATTACATAAATGATTATACGCAGTATGTACTTGTGAATATTATGTACGATAACATTACGATGTTATAAAAATATAATTTTTATTTAAATACAAAATACGTACCTAATTATACTAGATAATGAATACACCAACTTCAAAAATAATAATATACTATTTTATAACATTTTATTTTCCTTTATTTTTGTATAATATTTAGGTGTATTATATTAAACAATTTGTAGAACAGGTTACAAAACAAGATTATTTACCTAATATTATATTAATTAAGAACAGTATCAAAATAGTGCCTGTATAGAAAGACAGTGATTACTAGATTAGTTAATGAAAACTGTATAACTTAATGTAATAATAGTGTACAATTATAACGAGTCATGCAAAGTCATAAAAGAACAATATAACATACATTTTTACATTTAGTTTTTAAACTAATATATAATTATCTTAAAAATGCTTACAGCTTTAAATATTGTACTGTTATTTTATACAGCAAGGACAAACGGCTCTGTCAATTTCTCAGAAATTGGGCTACATAAGTGTAGTAGAGGCTTTGAAGAATGTCACAAAAGCTGTACCTTCATCAACTTCTGACGAAAAGTACAAAGTGATTTCTCCAGAAACCATGCAAGAAACATTTATGTCGGACTCAGAAGATGAAGGTGGTATGTATAAACAATAATTATGATAATAATATACAATATAAAATTAAATATATTACCAAGAGAGATTTTAACAGGTTATGTATTATTATATTAACATTCAATAACAATGTACACTATTAACAACGAAATAATTCGATTTCACCGTAGAGAACTAGAGAAGTACTGCAAGCGATTAAAAAAAAAAAATGTTTTTACTTTGAGAAAAGATAAATAATATATTTATATTATATCAATGTAGCAAATATTAACCATATAAGTCTAGGAGCACAAAAATATGATTTGACATTTCGAGTTGTTTAAGAAGAAAAAATTTCATATAAATCAAACATCTATAAATCAAATATCTACGTATTTAAGCACAATTTGTTTAATTTATAATATAATATATAATATAACTATGACTATCACGAAATAAACAACAGCAACAATTAAAACACAATATATTACATTATTATTCATGACGTATGAATTTATATAAATGGCTCTAACCTGAAGTCCTCAGGTTTTTTAACCTAGCCTATTAAAAAAAAACCCATATAACTCTTGTATTGAACTTAATCTTTTTATCGTCCTCACAAATATATCTAAATCGAAATAAACTATTTTAATCAAATATTTTCTGTGTAGATTAAAATATTGAGATTTTACAGATTATTACATATGTCAAATGTCGTTATTTACATGCGGCCAATAAACAATAATGAGAGATTAAAGCCCCATATATTACCTATTGGTTCTAATAAATATTCTTGAATAATATTTATGTATTTGATACTAATGTCATGTGTGCATTATTTTCCAAAGAATTTAAGTAATATTATCAAATCCAAATATAACATTTAATTACTTAATATTTCCCTTGTACGTTATGAAGAAAGTGAATATACCTACACAACTATTGCTATGATTTTTAGGAGAAACATAAGTAGGTAGATAAAAAATATAAAAATCAAACAAACAAATCATAGGTACTATCACAGTATCACGAGTTTCCATCACTTTTTAATTTAATGATATTCTACCAACCAAATATGATTTTTAGGTACCTCTGGTACTTGGTCATTAAATTTAATTATTTTCTTAATACCTAAGCATAATATAATAATATGTAATATTCATTTGTAATATAAGTGATTTTACATGTGAGTTTTGATATGATATTTTCAATAGTTATTATAATATGTCAGAATAGGACATAAGCGCAACTTGAGTCATGGTTTATTGGAAGGGTGGGGAACTACAGCCCCGGCCACTGATCAAAATATAATAATATGCAGTGTGCTGGCGAACATGCTTTGTCGTTAATACATTTTTCGCAACGAACATTTCCGCCTTCGAGCTATTAATATCAGTTTGAAATAAATTTTAAAATAGAACGATAGTACGAAATATAAAATACAAATTCTATATGATATCAATAATTTTTTAGTTTTAATGTGATGTTTTGAATAAACAAGACTGTTCCCAATAAACAAACTTTTACGGCTTTGTAAATATAAATAAGAAAAAAAAAGTTTAACTATTTCTGAGGGCTTAGCCCTTTTACACTCACCCCTGCCGTCGCCTCCCCCCTAGTTGCGCCACTGGCCACAGCACAATACAATATTAGAAAGTGTGCTCCCGCTTCCTTATATAGTGTTGCGCGAGCGTGGTTTCACTAACAAATGCTTGTAGTATGTGATTGGGATGATGATTGGCACACAGGTGACGTTTTGCAAAGCGGAAGCGTCGAGTATGGTCTCAACACTAGAGCTCAACTAACACAAAATGTTATCGTTTCGTCACGTGAGTTTTGTAGAGTAGAAAAAAAAATAATAAACAAACAAAATTTGGACCTATGGTATATTAGTCAACATGCATGAATTAATAGCCAAGTTCAAAATTCACGATTGGCTGTCACCCAACAGCCACTAGACAGTCACGGTCCATTCGGAATATATTGAACTCGGGTCGTGGCAGAAAACGAAATCGTTACACGCGACCCACTACCCGGGTAACCCACGGTGTCAGTATATTGTGAATTTGTGAACAGGATTCACACATAGAATTACCATCAGTGTGCTTCCATCATCATCATAGCTATTATTTATGTAATAATATGTAGTGCAGTTGAAGAACAAACGATAACATTTGCCCAGCGTATTTGCTTACGATAGCTTATTTATACGTCGGATGACCATAATATCATAGCATGCGAGTAGTGGTAGTGAGTAGAATACCTACCTATATACCTGCGTAAGACCGCACCCGTGTTATACGATGTTTTGTTTTATCATTTTATTTTTGAAACCCGGACGGTGCGTAGAACATTTTTTTATCTTTAGATCCATCATAAATGATAATAATAATATGGTAGTACACCGAATGCATTTAAGGGCCATTAGTATTGTATGACATTACTATATGTATTGAGCTTCGAGTGTCGACCGAGATATTATTATAATAATTATAATATGCATAAATGTCGATCGTTCCAGTTTTTCCGCGTAGTACTTGTAGCGTCCGTTTAAAATTAAATATGACCGGCCATCTGGTCAGTTAACTTACTGCTGTTTGGCACTTTGCCGGCCGTTTCGTCATTGGCTTTCCTCATTTCGGATTTTTCGCGCTTTGGCTTCACCAGCATCATAATAATGGATCAACTTTAGAGAGGAAAAAATTGATAAAAATAACTTTTAAGTTTTAGTTGTCGGCTGTCTGCCTATTCCGACGGTACCCATAACTAGGTCGCTGTATTCGTCTAACTTAAATTTTTCAAATTAATCATATAATAATAACAACAATTTAGAAACAATACGATAAAAAAAATTTTCATCATGTGTAAACGGAGGTTTTGCTGTTGTTGCTGTTTTAAAAAACAAAAAGAAGAAGAAAAGCTTCCAGGTTAGAAAAACACGTACCTACTTACATAATATAATATAGAGTCTTATAGTTTTTGAAATTCATCATCGAATGAATAAAGAAAACTTCTACATTATTTCCATCTTCATAATATATAGTCATGTTTGTATTGGAAAATGTATAACACCCAATGTATTAGGCACTTAATTTTTAAATCAATATTTAATTTTACACACAAAAACAATAGGTTCCTATGTTAAAATTAGTATAAATTTCAATTTTTATACACCCGTCAAATTAATATGACTATTTACAACCAAACGAATAATATTCGTGATAGTTTATTAACTTTTTAAAATTTAATTTATATAAATACACGTCTTTTTTGGGTTTCTACAATCATGATTTAGTCTATTTCATAGGTATTTGACATGTGTTGAAAAGTTGCTTTAGTTGTCACTGTATTGATATATACTTTTACTAATATCATTATCTTTTTTATATTCGGTAGTTATTTTAGAATAATTCTAAAATTATTGTCATCTTACCGATAACTGTGTTATCATAGAGCCAAAAATGATAAATGGAAGTTAAAGACAAAATTAAAGCTCAAATTACTGATGATGATCTTCAAAAAGATGATATAAATCTCATGAATTTCAATACGCAATATACGCAGAATACCAAATCGCGTTAGAACAGAATCTAAAAAAATATTAATATCAAACATTTTAAAAACCAATAAGATATTGAGATTGTGTTGGATTAACTGTATTAATAATTATACTATATTATAGAAGTGAATCATATTTCCGTGCATAATTAATCCCATTGTTTTCTGTAAAATAATTTAAAAATAAAATTCAGGCCGCCGTATATCGTTTCATCTGCTTGCTTCTTGGAAATTATTCAAATCTAATACTGTGTTGTCCATTTTTGTTAAAAAATATGAGATGATATTATTAAATTCATTTATGTATTATGAAACAGTCATTATTTCACGGGCAGTTAAAGCATGTATTCATTTTTAAAAGCATGTGCTTTTATAATCATCGTACATTTAACATTTTAGAAACACTTATTTTGATTTATAGAAACGTTGGATTATTTATTTTATTTTGTATCATGTTCTTAACCATCAATTTATTGGTAATTTAAAACTAATTTTATAATACAGGCGAGGAGACCATGATTAACGAACAGTCGTACAGGTATTTAACGGGAGAGGAAATGAAGGGTTTCGGCGACGAATCAGCTCCCATCGATGTCACACGGGACGAGAGGTGTGACGCGAATACTGGTAAGGAACACGCGAGTGTATAATATCATTATATATGTGGCCATATGGGTGGGTACCCACCTCTACCTACCGTGTAGATGTGCAAAAGTTGGCCACGGCACACGTGTGACACATTTTATTAAAATTATCTTGTTTACATTTTAGTGCCCCCCACATCCATCGACGAAGCCATCAGTCCACAGACCGTCTATGACAGTTACAGCGGCCCCGTGGATAACGTCGACATCGTTAAATATCCACCTCACGTTGGGTAAGTAGACCGGAAATACATTTTATTTTCCGTACCGCTTAAGCCGGCTAACCAAAAATATCGTCAATTGTCTAACAAAATTATTTATTGTTTCAATATGTGTGCTTTCGGACAGACGTTTACAATGGAAAACGTAAGGCTTTTAATATATATAAATATAATAATAATATTTACCGTGCTATGTTTTCATACCTACGTAGATTCCTATACCAGTAGTGATGTTTTGAATGTTTATAATAAAATATATGTCATAGATATAGTTATGCATTTTAGTCAAATAGAACAATATATAATAGTATAGTGTTAGTCATAAGGCTGATGTAGAAAAATCCATAATAACTAAAACTGGAGAACGACTATAATATATTATAATAATATTATGCCAACTATAATACTGTATACATCGTCCGATGAATCAGTCACAGCTTTTGTATTATTGTACCTATATAATATAATCGTTCAAAAGGAAAAATAATTTCTCACCCTTAACTTATCGTTTGGAATTATTACAGGTTTTTGGTGAGCTTCTTGGTGGACGCTCGCGGCGGAGCGATGCGCGGATGCCGGCACAGTGGCGTCCGCGTGATCGTACCTCCCCGACGAGCATCCATGCCCACGAGGGTGACTTGCCGATATTTAAGACGCGAAAAATTGGTGCACCCTCCACCACTGATGGAGGGCGAGTCGTTGGCTAGCAGAATACTCGAACTCGGTCCCGTGGGGGCTAAGTTTTTGGGGTAACTATCACTATAATACGATAATAAGCGATAGGTATAGTTTTATGTAATATCTATATATTATAATATGAGTATTATATCAATTATGGTTGATATAAAAAAAATCCGTGGAGCGCCCTCGGATGGTACCTACTTACTTACTTAACGGCTACAATATTGTACATCGTTTGCAGGCCTGTTATGATCGAAGTACCGAATTTCGGATCTCTCCGTGGATCTGAAAGAGAAATCGTCGTTCTCAGGTCGGAAAATGGCGAGACGTGGAGAGAGCACACGGTTGAAGTGACCGACGAAGTCGTCAAGGACATACTCGGAGCGAATTTCGATAAAGAAGGTATGTACCTATCTATAGTTCAAAAGGAATTAAACAATATACGCGTGAGTGTGTGACAACATATGTGATCAGCATATGATCAGTGTTGTAAAAAATACTTTTAAAAAGTATTTGAGTAATTACTCAAATACTTATAAAATAAAGTATTTAAAATACCACCCAAATACTATCTATTGTAAAGTATTTGAGTATTACTCAAATACTTTTTAGAAGTATTTGAAATAATTTTCAAATACAAAACAAAAAAATACGTACGTATACGACATACCTTACCTACCTAATGTTCGTATTATATTTCGCTATGATAATATACTATATTGGTAGGTAGTAGGTACCGAAACGTACCGTTCCGATCGTCGTCGAGTGTCGACGATAAACAGACGGTTTCTCAGACTAACTAATATTAATTAGCTATTAATAGACGAAAACTAAAACTAATATAGAATTGTTCATAAATGATAAATATATATTATAATATTATTAAGACATTATTATTATTTGACAATGAATAAAAAGTTGAAGGAATAAAAAAAGTATTCAATAAAATAGTATTCAATAGTAAAAAAATGTATTTAAAATACCGTTCAAATACTTCAAAAATAAAAGTATTTGAAAAAGTATTCAATACGGAAAAAAGTATTTGAATACTTTTACTCAAATACTTTTACTCAAATACTTTACAACACTGCATATGATCAGTATATGACAAATGTATAACTAGAGATATCCCGTTGTTATCTCGACAATACACATTTAAAAAAATTAAAACTTAGAGATATTGCTTATTAAGATTCTTAAACTTTCTTAAAACTTGAAAGTCTTAAATGGGACTATGGAAGCAAAGCATTTCAACTCTGTAAAGTATTATTCAATGCAATAAAAAAAAAAGAACAAAGTCCTCGAAACACACCCCGACACCTAAGTACCTAACCCCAAGTGACACACTACAGAGTACAGAGAGCTTGGATAGATTTGACTACTTGTCCAGACTTATGAAAAAAAGATGTTTTATATTGTACGACATGTAAACTGTTCAATTTTAAAATCTAGTAATCTAACTACACAACGATTATTGCATGGTACAGAAGTACATAACCGTTGCTATCTGCAGATATGCAAACGCTAAAAACTATAAATGTATACACCTAAGTTTAGTTGATTTAAGTCAGAAAAACTTAAAAGCATTGAAATAAATATAAATTTTCGACGAACGAAAATATTGCATTTCAATAATGATGGATCGTGTTCATTTTTGCAGACCGCGACCCGTGGCATTCCGGTAACCGTCTGACGAGGATCGTGACGACGGAGTTTCCGCATTACTTTGCCATCGTGTCCAGAGTCAAGCAAGAGGTACACGCCATTGGGCCGGAGGGAGGCATGGTCTCGTCGACGGTGGTGCCACAGGTGCAGGCGGTATTCCCGCAGGGAGCCCTGACCAAGCGCATTAAAGTCGGCCTACAGGTAAACTTGTTTAAACCGCGAAGAAATGTGGCCAGCACGTGCCTAAAGAAAATCTCCGTTAACCATGTGCCGAAAAAAAAACGGTTCTCGTTAATGTGGTAAACGCACCCCTGACACGATATCATATTTCGGTGGCGGTGGTGGTTGTGTCTCGTCTTGAAAAAAAAAATGAAAAACGAGCAATTTACACAATAAGACTTGACATATTTTTTTTTACCAAACGCTTCAAACACACTCACATATTGCGCATAACACATTAAAAAAAAAAAAAAAAAACATTGCGATTTCTTGATGTTTTTTTTTATTATTATTATTTTTTTTACTTTTTATTTAATAATATTTTTTGATTTAAAGATACCATACACATTTCAAACGTTTCTAGTCACTAACTATAATATTACTATTATATCCGCATCGATATTCGATAACGAATCTAGTCTTCCCCCTAGTCGATCTCGTTTATCTCGTTATACTTATACTAATTTTCCAAGTATTTAACGTTATTTACTAATTACTATACTATTTATAATCCAGATTCGATAGAACACGAACCATACGTCTTATTACAATCGAATTATTAAAGTAGATAATATATAATTCTATTATCATTAATAAATATCGATTTTTTTTTTTTAAACTAAGATATTATTTTAATAAATTAAAAAAAAATCAATATTTTACTATTTATTCTAAGAACGATTTTATGTTCTATAAGTGTTTGTTCTTGAAATATTTAAATTCTATACAATAAAGTTCAGTTTTTGACGGCACAGTTGGTTTATTGCCAAGAGCTTCATTACATTTTAACGCGGCTGAAGAGTATATTGTACATTTACTAAACATCCTATTTGTGTACTCATAATATTATGAAATATTTTTTTTTCATCAAAATTGTAAATGTATTTTTTTAAATTAAGTTATAGCTTATAATATCATTTCACTCACACAGATATTGTATACGATTAGCACGATTTTATTATTATTATTATTTTAATGTTTTATTTATCATTTGAAAAAAAAATATTTAATTTTAAATGCCCAATAAATATAGTATAAATAATTTTTTTATCAAACTAACATGTTTTTGTCATTTCAATTTGTTTCGAGCTCATATAGTTTTATTTTTACATAAAGAAAAAAATAAGTTTACATTATGTTCAAACATATTGTACTACATAATCGTCATGTACGTGAAATGTCACCAGTAGACTCAGTTCATGAGTATATTTCTATTTCAGTACATTTAAAATTGTTTTGTGTTAGATAAAACTATACGAGTTCAAACCTCATAATCTCAGCTCAGTCCTTTTGTCTTGTTAATCATTCCAACTAACCGAATATTATATGAAAATACGAAGTTATATAATAATAATGTCTATAGATAATATATTATAGTAAAGTAACTAATCGCTATAATCAAAAAGCTAGTATTTATTGGGCCATCATTTTGTTTTAGTTTGTTTTATAATTTTTTTTTTTTTTAAATTTTTTAAAACATTTTTGTTTTTACCTAGTGCGTGTAATCTTTTACATCCGATTTTTTTTTTTTATTGTTTTGCTTTACCCGTCATAATAATATAATATTCTGCTTTTGGACACACCGCTTGTGAACACGATTTGCTAACTCACGAAAACGACCGACCACACCTATACCGACTACACTGCGACGAGCTCTCTCTCGCGGGCACACGTCCATCACCACCCAGGCGCTAGCTGACGTTATGTTTGTTGATATCACGAACTGCAGTTGTACCTATATATATATTATTGTTATACCTACACGTTTATCATTTTATTTATTTATTTGATTATTATTTGTTTATGTTTTGTGATGGCCCTCGGTATAAAACAGTACCCACATAATATTGTTAGGTACATACTACGATATTATAGTCAGTGGCGTACATACGGGGGGGGGGTCGGGTTCAAACCCCCCCCAGGACCAAAAAAAAATAAAAAAAGGTGGGCAAGTGGGTGTCGCTCTGCTGTACAGTAGGTTACAAGTGGGTCACTGTATAATGGATGATATTAAATTTGAATTCAACGATATAATATCATTGTATAAGAAAAACGATTCTGAGCGCAGACGGTATGTCAGTCTATGTATAAGACATATTATATACATATCTATGGTATTAAACAAAAAATTGACCTATAATGGGTACCTATAATAAATTCCAAATTAATCATATCAAAATATCCATTAGGTACTTATAACGCGTTATACATCAACAAAAACCGTGATACTATCATAGATATATAATAGTACACTTTAGAAGTTTCAAGTACCCACGAATAGTATTATTCAATCACAACAAAATAACTAAAATCGTAATTCTTGGTTTAAATATGAAATTTTGTCTAAATTTGAAATTAAAATGTCTGTAAAAAATAAGTGTGTTTATATATTTTTTAGATTTTTTGGTTACAGTATGAATTATTTAAGAGAATCTTTGTTTTAAATTTTCAACTCTTAGTTATAAAAACTGAACATTTTATATTTTTTTAATTCCAACGATTGATAATTTTCGAGATTTTGATAAATTTTGTCAAAATTCCAACTTTAAATGCTTATAAAAAAAAATCGTGCCTATGTATTTTTAATATTTTTCAACTGATATTGTAACAATATATCAGGAGCCTTGTATTAAATTTTTACACTTTTTGGCCCAACAGATAAAACTTTATTGATATTTATAGAAAAAAAAACTAAAAAAAATTGAAAGCTGTAAATGTCCATAAACAGCTCAAAAAGAGTCAAAATATTTTCAAAATTGTATGGTGTATAGAAAATGCTAATTTAAACATTCAGTGAAATTTTCATGTATCTACAGTTATTTGTTTTTGAATTACAACAAAATAAGGAAATCGCTACATGGGAAATCGAGTGAATATTCAATGTTGTAAAAATTTGAATTTCAAACGCTCATAAAAATTTAATTTGACTTTCTTATAAACATTTTTCTTTTGATAAAGGTAGACAAACTTATAAGGAATCTTGTGTTTAATTTTCAAATCTTAGATTTAAAAAGAAAAATTTTTACGAATTCTTAACTCAAAATAATTTGCTAATTTTCGTGATTTTCCCATACTTTGTCAATTTTTGAACTTTAAATGCTTATAAAAAAAAATTGTGACTAAGGATTTTTAATATTTTTCATCTGCCTTTGAAGCAATATATTAGGAGCCTTCTATTAAATTTTCAAGCTTTCGCAACCAACAAATAAAATTTTATTGATATTTTTAGAAAAAAAACTAAAAAAAAATGGAAAATGAAAATGTCCCTAAACAGTTCAAAATAAATCAAAATATTTTGAAAATGTTATCGTGTATAGAAAATGCAAATATAAACAACCAGTGAAAATTTCATGTATATACGTTCATTTGTTTCAGAGTTACACCAAAAACCAAAATCGATTTTTTGGAAAACCAATTTTGCGTAAAAATTCCCGTTTTTCCTTAATTTTTATGTTGTTTTTCCCGGCGCTTGTGAAAACTACTGGGAAATTTATACTTTTGACCCCCCAAAGTACCAACTAGATTCACTTTCCTATCAGAAAAGCTACTGATGAAGAAAATCCAAGCACTTTTACTGTCCTAAAACGTGATGACAGACACAAAAATAAAAAAATAAAAAAAAAAATAAAAAAAAAAATAAAAAAACACACATCATTGTAAAATCAATACATTCATCGTTTCACTCAGAATCTAAAATAATGTGATATTATTGATGAATTTCTTATTATTAATCAACCGTGTATACACAAATATACGTCATTATAATATGACTATTGAGCAAACAGTAAACATTATACCAAACCAACAACGAAAAAAGATTTCATAACGAAATTCTGGGTGCCGTATAATATGGTATATCAATTAAAATAGACATTATTTTGATCGTACACAGTCAGTTAGTTGCGTGCGGATATAAATACATATTAATATTGTCTTTATCTCGACCGACTCATTATAAACACACACGACTTTGAGTTTTTTTTTTTTAACTCAGTTAAGTTAATATGCATACACATATAGATATAGTATATATTGTATTTTTAAGTACAGAAGTTACCTATCACATAAGTAATAAGTAATAAATAATAATAAATAAGTATTATATATTTTAGTTGTCTTTCAAACAGATATTATTTGTGTACATCATAATACGATGAGTATTGAGTAGGTAGGTATTTTTATTTTTAATTTTAATGTTTAACTATCAACGTGAATACTGTTAATAATAATTTTTAATAATAATTAATAATCTCACAAAACCGTAAACCATAAAATCAATAGGTAATTGATTTATTTATTTTTGTTTATTTTTAGATTTTAGTGTCGGCAAACTATATCATAATTTTATGTCTATATTATTGAAATTTTGACATGGCAACAAAATAGACTCAAATAATGAAATGTAAAAAAATGAAAAACAAAATAAATTAACTTACAAATAAAAAAATTAATTCGTTAATTTAATGTTGATTAAAAAATAAATTAGTAGTTAAGTTAAAAATTATTATTATCACAGCATAATCATTATCATTCGATTTCGATATATTTTAGGTTTTGAAGGTAAAATAAATAGTAATCATGGCTGAAAAAAATCAATTGAAACTGCAATCTTTTTTTCGAAACCACCCTCAATAATGAATTCATTGTCAAATTCATTAAATGCAACTCAAACAGTTATAAGTTCCTCTAGTTCCTCATTACCATCAACTGCATCTGCATCTGATATACCTATCACTCAGTTTACACCTTCGACTACAGATATTAATCGTACATCTTCCAGTTATAATATTTTTGACATTGCACATTACACAAATAAATTGTTAACGCAAAGTGAAATAGAAGACATTTTGAGCAAAATTTGGGTCCCTGATATTAATTACAATTTTCTTATCAAAATATCAGTAGTCGGTAAACAACAAAAAGTTTTGAGGTTGAAATTTCAATATAAATGGCTAATTAACTTTCCCTGGTTGGCCTATTCA